CATCAATTTTTTTTTTTATTTTTATTTTTATTTATTTTTTTTTTATGAAGTTGTGATTAAACTTTGGAGTCTTTTCTTTGATGGTGGAGACTATTATTTGCCTGATCTAATTCTCTCGAGAGAAGGCGAGTGTTTTACAACTCTAAAATCAGTATCAATGTTGTTTAGGCTAATTTTAGAGCTTTTAACGTGTGGCTAACACTTGCTCCCATAACACTGAATGAAGTGTCTATTTTTATAACATTGATGAAGAAATAAGTGTCTCTATGAGATTTCAATTGGATGATGATGAATGCATTGATATATGCAAAAATGTTTATCAAACTGTGGCAATAATGTAATAATAATCATGTGACTAATGATATATAATAGAAATAAATAATTTACAGTGATTGAAGATGATGGGTTAACCTTTTCATATTCTTTAAGGATGACGAGTTCTTCTTCCTTGCTTTGCCTTTGATCTTGTCTTAGTCTTCAATTTATGTTTTATTTTGTAAAACTTTGTTTTGTGCCACTCTCAACTTTACCATCCAGAGGCACATGATGTTCGAAGTTGCTAAGGCAATCTATAGTAACATCTTGCACACCACCAAGCCTACCACAACTAGGGGGCTTGCTTAGCCCTCCTTCATTCATGGCCTGTGTCCAGGCTGAGGTCCATATGAGCACCTTTGAAGAACTCATCTACCTAAATTCGGTACTCACGGGAAACAAGATTCTGTTGATGGTACCTAGACATAGACAACATTAGTAGGAGGGAGCACGAGGAGGAGGAGATGCCACGAGCACCCCAGGAGATCTCAACCCCATAACTGAGGAGGTACCAATATCCGATGGAGAGAAATTAAGAGGATGATAGGTTCTCCTTGAGGGCCTCAAAACTCGGTTAAATTGAATTAAGTGGAGATAGTGATGAGTGGAAGAGGGGTTGGTTGCAAACTTGCACTACCTACTAGAGTTTGGCCACAATATTATCATTACGTGAGCCAATTCTATAATTCATTATCTGATATGTTTAGTAATTTTCGTCTACACATTGGTTTGAGTAATGCTTTTTTCCATTGACGTTATAGTACCCTAAGCTGGTGGTCTATGAGGAAGAAGGATAAGTGTTGAATTGCCTCTGTTGGAAAGTCTTTTTTTTATCTATGGATTGGATTATTTTCTTTAAGTTTCTTTGTGAGAAATTTATTTGCATTAGTCTTACATTGATGGAAATGCTGAATTAAAAAATGTGGGGTGCCTTTTTTTCTTTACAAAGGTTGCTTTGTTTTGACTATGCTATGTTTTCTAAGCTTTGTGCTTTGTAGCCTCCATCTGTTATCGTCTTAGCCGTTCTATTTATGCCTATTTGCATTTTGGCATTAAGTCTATTTAGTTTGCTTCATTATTATTTCATTTTCTTACTTTGTTAGTGCATGCATTTGTTCTTTGTTGATGCAATAACTTTGGAGGGAGGAGTGCTATATAACGACATTATTTAGAATCATTTGCTTTATTTTTTGGCATTATTTGGAGGTTTAGGAATGTTCTATCAGTTATAAGATGTAATCCTCTGTATTATGTTGTTATCAATAAAATTTATTAGTTGAACATAATATGCATTGCATTTTATCATGCTGTGATCTTGTGAATTCGGTCATTTTAACTATGCATTATTTTGGATATTTACATAAGCGAGTAGGCTAGGCTTAACATGTACTCCAATTCTTGATGTAACTAAAAATATATCAGTCGGGCCACCTAATTGTTGATAGAAACTAACGTGCATTTGAATAAAAAACGAGATCATGAGATTGGAATTCCCTGGAAAAAAAAAATTCTAATTGTGAATAAAAGAAAAATGTGAGAGTTATCAGTTGTAGTGCAGAAGTATGGCATAATATTTAGATGGTTTTCTTGCAAGGTGCTTTTCTATGGTATGGTGTTGAAGTTTTATTGTTCCATTGGCGCTGAGCTTCCCGGGTTACTGTTCCACCAGCATGGTAGCTTCCTTATCACGGAAAAGCTCTCTTTTTGCATAATTTGTTTCCGACCATCCCACTCCCAATATACTACTTTGGTTTTCCCACAAAAGGTGGTGATTATTTAGAAGGAGATGAAAGTTTTGCGCCCACGGCTGACCGGAAGAATGGGAAACCAGCTCTTTTCCTTATAGATGCTGATACTTCCAAGCCTGTTGAACCTTGCAGGGAAGAGGACTCTTTTATGGTAGGCACATCATGGTCCACCCATGCATGGAAGAGGAATAGGCACGGATATTTTCCAAAAATGCTACTGAACGTTGAGAATAAGTATATGAAGGTTCTTAAATTGTCACCAGATTTTGATCCACAATCTGAACCACCTATTGTTCCCATGTGGTTTAAATTCCCGGGTCCAAAGTTGCATCTATTCAACAAGCAAATCCTCGTCTATGTTTGGGCTATGTTTGGCAGACCACTTAAATTAGACCTTCCCACATTCAATTTGATCTGACCTTATGCTCCTTGGGTTTTGATAAAAAGAGGTATCACTCAACCAGTGGCTGAGGAGATTTGGATTGACTCCACACATAACAGGTACTGGCAGCAATTGGTGGTGGAACAAAGCATATATTACTGCAGCAAATGTAGAATGTTTGGCAATCCTTTGGATAAATGCTATGTTTCACACCCTGAATTAAGAATAATTCAGACTACTCGGGTTTTCCAGGATGAGGAAGAAGAGGGATAGGTTGCATTCAACAAAAATAACATACACATTGAGGTTATTAAGGTGGAAACCCAACAAATGAATCGGCTGATCAATGCTAGAGATTTGCTGGGAACCGAGCAAGAACAGGTGGGTCAAAAACTGAATACAAATGCAGATGTAAAGCAGAAAGGTAAGGAGGGGATGAGTTGGGAAGGAGAACAACAAGAAGAGATCCTGGTTGCAATGACCGATGAATTAATGTCATGCCTGACACTTCTGAAGAGGAGAGTGGTAATCTACATGTTAGCGTGGATTGAGTTATACATATGCTTGATCCACCAGTCCTACATATTACACAACATGAATTAGATAACATGTAAGGAAATTTGAAAGCCGTCAGACTTGAGCGGCGGCGACAATGGCACCAACTTGCAAAGAGCAGCAATGGCACTAATAGCAATGTATTGTGGTGATGAGAGGCGGCATGCAATGTTGAGCAAGGACAGGCGCAACTAAGGAGGCAATTAGCATTGCAAGTGAAGAATGTGACGTTGCGCGCTAAGTTTTTCATCTGTTTGAAATTCATCAGATTGGAACAATTTTCCATTTTTCCATTCATAAATCATACCACGCATCAGATTAATTGTGTTGAATACGCACTAAACCTATGTTGCCATGCATCATAGATCAAATTAAAAAAAAAAGATGATCAATAAAAACCTTCTGTATGAACTAGTTCTACTTTGCGAATGTTCCAATCCATCAATTCAAGCTCTGAACTCAAACAAATATTTATTTTAGTATTAACGAAAGCTGAGTTCAAGTAAACCATACAATGCACAAGCATGAAAATTCACACAACCATAAAACCCCAGTTTAATCATACAATGCTTCCAAATAATCAAACACAAATATAAACATTCTATATCTCTTAAATATCAAGATGCAAAATGATAAGATAATAGCAAGTAAAATTCACAATACATGACCGCATGACCAACAGTTACCATGAAGAATATCATGAAGAGATCCCATTGTTGCAAACTCATATGCAAGGACACGGAGACCACCATCAACATAATAGCCAAGCAGCTCAATAACATTTTCATTCTTTAACCTTGACACCATTGATACCTGAGGAAACAACTTTTGAGGGACGCGTAAATAAAAATTAATAAAATAGCGCACATGTTATTGAGAATCACCTGGGCCAGAAATTCTTGATCTGGCTGTTTACTAGAATCTAATTTCTTTAAGGCTGCAGCTTTACCATTTTTTAAGAGACCATAATACACTCTACCGTACGAACCCTCTCCAATCAAAGCATTGTTCCCAAAATTATCAGTTACTTCTTTTATTTCTTCTACAGGAATTATAGGCACTTCAATAGGTTGCACTTTCACAGTTTGAACACCCTTCGGGGCAGGATCAGATGCTCGATTAGATCCATCATAGCCTGCATAATGACCGCATACTATCTTATTATCAACATCATCATTAGCCTTAACCCACTTGCATGATTTATGCATATTTAAATAAACATAAAATTAAAACAGGCAGAAAACAGGACTAGAAGGGCCCTGGTTGAGTCGTTGCAAAAAACCCCTTTGATTTACCATAATGCCCCTCATGCTTCAGAACTAGAGACATGAATGAATATAAATTACAAAGCAGTATTCAACAATATAAAGTTGAAGTTTTAATCGTACAGTTAATTTAAGATGGAAACCTTTCTTTCACTGAACAAGGCAACACTTACTAGCCATTCTTATGAACTGAAAATAAACATATTTTCCCTCTCCACGTATAAACCATCCTCAGAGCAAGCCAATCCACAAACAAGAACAGATATAAACATGAATAGCACACAAAAACGTACAGAAATGCAAAATTAAATAAATAAAACGGGGCGAAATCATAGTATTTAAGTCAGAGAGCCTAGGCAAAACTACGCACAGCCAAGGAATAATCCTTGCCACTGTTGGCAGCCAGGATATCCTTAACTATCCTGTCTTACTAAGTAGATTATTAAAGTAATACAACTTCTGTCAGCTAAAAGAATGTTCCAAGTGCAGTAAACAGTTGCTCCACTTCAACAACAAAACCAATTTCATCATATACATGTCACTAAGTAGCAACTGCCTTCCCAATATGATGAAAGATCTTATTATTCATGGAGAAACCAAAGATTATCTTGGATCAAATAAACATTAATTCAGCAAAAAAAGATAATAAATTAGTCGAAGAATACCTGCAGCCTGATTTGCAGGAAAAGCACCCCCCTTATCAGGTGCACTGTAAATATCTTGTTCTCCGCAGCAAGCAAAGCACGACATGCTTCTTTATTTTAGTGCTGTCCTTTAGGAGAAATACCTTGAATCTTTATTTAAAAAAAAAGGATGGAATCAATAAAAAATACAAAAACATCTGCCAGCAATACCAGGAAGAGAAAAAAATCATGTTCCTGGGAGATTCTATGATAACAAAACTAAGTTTACAATTCATAAACTAAAACAGGAGATGGAGAAAAGTATTGATTCATATACACAAATCTGATGATTGAATCATATACCTCAGTGAACAATAAGCGTGTAACATATTAATATAGTGGTAATTTTACTGTTTTTTTTAATCATAATAGGATCAGCACAATCAAAATCAACCGCCATCAATAAAAAGAACAAAATATAAAATGTCCTCATCAAAACTAACAGAAGAAAATAACAGTACCCAAAAAAAGAATTAAATAAGAAAATCATATATCTAACTCTAATATCAAATCAAAACCCTTCAGACAAAAGAGAGCGTAAACTCACATGAAAGCATGAAGAATATATGATAGTTGAACATGTGAATCATATGCAAAATACATCAGAATAAAACAGAATTAAAGGAAGAATAACTGCTGGATTTATCCCTACATACAACGAAGATGCATATGAAAACCAAAGAAATTAGGGAAGATGAAAATCCACTTCCTTGATGGCATACCAGATGACTGCACTTCCTACCTATACATAACCCCTTCAATAATCAAGGCTATAAAGCTAAGTATGGAGTGAGTGTTAGGAGACAAATACCACTCATCTTATCCACCATAAGTGAAAGCACAATCCATCAATATGGTAATAAAGAGTATTTGATCCAATTTGTCAACGAGTTCACTCTTGCTATCCACCTCTGAAAAAGAGCATTTTGATTGTAAAGTTGTAATCCTCTAGTGGCCTAAAAATGCAAATACTGTGATAACATTATAACGTATAGTAAGGGACTTTGTTGGGCTTGGCCTTGGGGTCATTACCAATTGAACTTCCCCCTGTACAAACATTATTGTCCTTTGCTGCTGACTCAGTCTGCTTTTCTCTTATCATTGATGAATAGAATTTTAGATGGTATTATGCAGATTGATCAAAATAAGGTAGGTTGCTTCTGTGCATAAACAATTAAGCTGAACAAAAAAGGAATAATTGGTCTTAAAGGCGCAACCTGGAGCACTGGAAGCATGGGATGGAAGACTTCAAGTTTGACATGATCTTTCCCTTCACGTTAGGCTAGGGAGATGAAGGCAAAGATTGAGATAAGTTTGATAAAAAAAAGCCATCGATCATACCCCATAATCTCTTGATAGTATCTTGTCCATTTGTATCTGCATGGGCATCTTCTCCCCTTGGAAGAAGTTGGAAGACCTTTATGAAAGAAAGGCAAACAAGAAAAAAGTATCTAGATTCAAATGCATTTCAATCTAAACTACAAGGATGACATGAGTCTATATTTTAAAGACAAATCGGAAGTTGTTAAAACTTCTACACATTCATTTTAGCTCAACTCAAAACACTTATTCAAGTCTTTCGAGACGACAATAGTCGTGAATTTTTCAACTCTATTTCAGATGAATTCTTGGTGAGTAAGAGCATCATCCACCATAACTCATGTACAGACACTACTCAACAAAATGGTATAGCCAAGAGCAAAAACTGTTGCCTCCTCGACGATGCTCCCTCCATTATGTTTCAATTCAATGTCTCGAAACATTTTTTGGAGCGATGATATTCTCACTGCCACATCTCATAAATAGAGTTCCCTCTAAAATTCACAAGTTTTGAACCCTCTCAGCCGTCCTCATGTCATGCTTTCCTGCCAATCGAATCTTCACCACATTATATTCCAAGATTTTTGAGTGCATTACCCTTGGTCGGAACACTGTTCCCAATCGGAGTAAATTTGATACCAGATTCATAAAATCTATCTTTCTTGAGTACTCTGCCACTTAAAAGGGGTATCATTGCCTTGATCCTACCACTACAAAAAACTATGTGAGCGCTGATGTCTCCTTATTTGAAAATGTTCCCTATTTTCCTAACTCGACTCCAAGTAAGGGAGAGCTTGGATTCTTAGACACTATCGCTTATCCAACTTCAATGGATATTCCCCCTATTATTCTCGTTACTGAAGAGTTTTGTCCCGGTAAGTGCATCATCTCCTCCTACAGCTACCCGTGTCTGCACTCGGCGCACCCGTTCCAATGCTCCTACTTTGGAACCAGTTACCTCCTTACAGGACCTTGACTCCATTTCGGGCGACATCCTCAGTGTGACCCCTTCTAGGAATGAGGAAATGAGTTCTCTAAGTAAAGTATGCAATCAAACATGCTATCTCTATTCTATGGTAAAATATATCTCTTTCCGCAATTTATTACCGACCTACAGAGCATTTGCCACTACACTAACGGGCAATCAAATCTTGGCTACTATTGAGGTTGCTCTTACTGATCCAACCTAAAAAACGATGAATGTCCTTCGGCAGAACCATGCATGAGACGTCATTGATCTTCCTCATGGTAAGAAAGATGAGGGATGTCGATGGATTTTTAGCATCAAGTTCCACTCTAATGGATCCATTGAACACAACAAGGCACGATTGGTTGCAAATACATACTCAAACGCCTACGGAGTTGACTAAAAGAAGGCATTTACACCAGTGGTTAAGTTAAATACTATTCAGGTCTTGTTGTCCCTTGCAGTGAATCTAGATTAGTCTTTATTCCAGCTAGATGTCAAGAATGTGTTCTTGAATTTAGAGCTTACAGAAGAGATACACATGTCTCTTCCTCTTGACTTTAACTCTACTGCTTCCAAAGGGCAAATATGCAGGTTGCGAAAGTCTCTCTATGGACTAAAGCTGTTGTCAAGCGCTTGGTTCGGCAAGTTCACAAAGGTTCTTGTGAGTCATTATTTTACTCAAGCTCAATCGGATCACACTATCTTCTTCTGGCATTCCTCCAATGGCCAGGTAGCTATTCTTATTGTCTATGTTGATGATATTGTTCTTACAGGTAATGATCTCCCAGCACCGGAGTCCTTGAAAAGCATTTTTGTTAAATCCTGTGAAATGAAGAATTTGAGATCTCTCCAATACTTCTTAGGCATGGAAGTGGCTCGATCATCTCATGGAATTTGTCTATCTCAACGCAAATATGTGATTGATCTCCTGAAAAAGAACAGCATTCTTTTGTACAAACGAGTGGTTGTCCACATGAATCCCAATAAAAAATTATCTGACATTCCCAAGGCAAGGCCTGTCAAAAAGAATCACTACTAGCCCCTTGTGAGGAAACACATCCACCTGCCCATACTCATTTATACTCGCCCCGACATATGTCACACAGTTGGTATAGTGAGTTAATTCATGAATAACCCTTATGAGCATTATTTCCAAGCTATCAACCAAATTCTCCACTATTTAAACGGTACTCCGGGCTCAGATTTGTTTTTCTCTTATCACAAATCTCGGTCAATAGTTGTTTATACAGATGTTAATTGAGTCAAGTCTGTTCATGACCAACATTCCACATCAGGGGGCATTGTTCATTTATATGGGAAAATTTGGTCACATGAAAAAACAAAAGACAGTCTGTGGATGCTCGGAACAGTGCTGAAGCTGAATTTCGGTCCATAGCCTTGGGGAACTGTGAAGCTCTCTAGTTATGCATCATGCTCCGAGAACACTTTGTCTGCCAACTTTTGTCCCGTTGTAGCTATTCTAAGATAATAAGATCGTCATCAGCATTGCTCACAATCCAGTCTAGCATAATCGTACTACACATGTAGAGATTGATAGACACTTCATTTAAGAAAATATTGTGTCCAAGGAAATTTGTGATCCTTTTGCACCCTCAAGTGGTCAACTAGCAAATATCCTCACTAAGAATCTTCACCGACCTTTGTTAAGTTGAACATGATTGGTATATATGCTTCCACTTGAGAGGTGTTATTAGATTTATAACGACAATCAAATATCTAGTCATTATTAGTTATTATTTTGTGTCTATTAGCTTTAAATTTCCTCATTATGTATTTTCTTTTTTTGTTGTATTCTATTTTATTCATTTCATATTTATTTCATTTTGTTTTATTTATTTCCTTTGTTGTGCCTATTGTAATTAGATTTAAATACCCCTTCTTTTATTAATAAAATTGTGATGCTCTATTCCAATTCTCAACATTTTACAAACAATCGACGGAAGAGGAAAAGGCACTTCCTTAATGGATCAGTTGGAAACCTAAGCTTATCTTCCACGTATAAATAGATTTCTACGTGCACTCGAGATGATAATATTACGTGGTGAGTAAAGTGAGAGTTCAAAGTCATTCATGAGACCAAACAGACTTATAAGGGTGGTGCGCATTAAGAGAGCCAATAACTACTCATCTCATCCCAATAAATAATGTTTCTATCCCTCAATGGGGCGATGAAGAATATTTCATAGAAGTTTTGGTGAAATAATCCCCAAACCCCGCCCCCAGCATAAATTTCGATAAGGCATTTCGTATCTGATTCTCCTATCCTAACAATACCCTGACCCATGGTCCACAACCAAGTTGTTAAGCCAGAAGTTGTGTAGCAAATGCCTCTGAACAACAGCTATTAGAGATTATATATATCTCGCATGATTTATACGTCAGACTATTGGATGTCTTGAAGGCTGCTGAGCATATTTATTTCAAAATATGGCCAACAAAAAAATATATTTGACGTGGATTCAACAACATTAAAAAAAAAAAAAAAAAACTTGCAAATCTCGCTTTCCGTTACTACTATTTCTGTAAAAGCTAAACTGAAATCTAATTACGGACTCCAACTATCGATTGGAAATTGCTAACGGCTATAAAAAGATTGAAGACAGAAAGTATGGTCTTTTATAAGTCAAACAGTTTTCTTCCGCCGTAAACATAAATCATCCCTAAGAGATTCTATTTTATCAGAATTATTCCAAATGAATCAAGTTAAAAATAATACCCTTTTTATCCCTCGTGGTGGATAATAGATGATAAGTATAATAAATTTTCATCCACACAGAAAATCTTCTCTTAGAACTACTTATCGTTACAGAACGGCGTGCAACAACCGCAGAATTTTAAAAAACCTGGGATACAAGTTAATAATCAGTTCCTAATACTCCTTGACTGTAAATTATGGCCGGACCGGTAGTCGCACTTCATAAAGAAGAAATCAGCAGTAAATTTCTAAACTGATGAGAAAATTCTCGAGGTATTACGGTTTCCAGCCCTACCTTCACAGCAGTCGACCCGAGATCAAATCAAACTGTATCAAAAGTAATAAGAAAATAAATTGAAGTCCCGGAAACAGAAATCTGATTCAAAGAACACCGATCGAAAAAAAGAAATGACACAAGAAGGGAACCCGTGGAGAGTATGAGCCTTCAGAGCTGGTATCTCACCTCTTACTCTCTCACAGAACAGATCGGCCGCGTGATCGAGAAGCACGCCGACAGAAGGCAGCGGTTGTGGCGATGTAGAAGCCCGGGGTAGCAAAGAGGAGCAGGACGGCGCGTAGCCCTTTGGGTCTTCACGTCAGGTGAGATGGGCAAGGAAGTGAGGAAGGGAAAGATGATAGGCATTATTGTAGAAGGGAGCGCGGTCTGGTCACCACCCTTTGCCTTGTTCATTCCGTGCTGAATTATACAAGCAGTCAATTACCACTTGTTGGGTTTAATTTTTTAATTTTGTATCAATAATGCTATTTATGAATATAATATATTTAAATATTTTAATTTATAAATAAGAGGACAAATGGAGCTTTCTCTTTCTTTTTTATTTTTTTAAAGAAATATATTATTTGAAATATCAAAATTATTAAAAAGCGCATATTATTTTTTCCTCTAAAAATATATTTTTATATCGAAAAAGGTGATTGATATCATTAAATTAAACATAATAGGAATATTGACGATGGGAGTAATTGCTTCATTTTGACTTAAAAAAATAAATATCAACCCTTTTTTTATTATTTATTCCTCTCTTATACAAGGATTCAATATTATTATGCTCTAAATATTTAATATGAGAGAGAGAATTAACTATTCTAATAGTATTTAAAATATAAGATAAATGAAAAATACATTGAGATTAACTTATAAATAATGCAATATTATGTAGGTAAAAATTTCAAGGAGAAATATAATCAATGCATTCCCCATAATTGGAAATGCATTTGCTATAATTTAGTATATATGAACTCTAAAAGATGACTTATATATTTCCCTGGTGGAAGTATTAGGAATCTCAGCGTTGGAGTTACTTTTATGAGATTTTTGGTAGACTTTACATACATTAACCTTATAGGATGGGAGATTTGCTATTATGAGCTGAAGATCAGCCTTGATAAAGATAGGTATTCGGTAGTCTAAATATGAATGTTCGTGTTGATGATAGGTATTGGTTTTTTGTGTTAATGGCAAACATTAGCTTTATTGGTGGTGTTAAGTATTAATGTTGATTACAGGCATCTATTTTAATGTCAATGACCAATATTGGTGTTTGTGCTAATAGATTTGGGTGATGATGAGCACAAATGTTGATGTTATTAATGCATGTCAGCCTTTTTAACAATGGAAAGTGGTGACATTTGTGTCGATAGTGTACAATAATTTTGTGGGAGAAGACGACTTTATGGTATATATGTATATATATATACTTACAATGGTGGGCATTAGCATTAGTGTCCAAAATGAGTGTCGGTTTTATTGAGAATGACAAGCATTAATATTAGTATTAAAGGTAAACTTTGGCATATTGGTGATGGTAAATGCTAGCATTTATGTCAACAATGAACATTTGTCTTCTCTTTTGTCTATTTCAAGGAGGTGGGCATGAGGATTGGTATTGACAACAATTTTTATTAGTGTTAGAAACAACAAGTTGATATTTATGTCAACAGTGAATGCCAATTGTATTTATGCAAATGGATGGCAAATACTTAAAAATGGATCTCTTTTTTTTTTATGTCTTCCTAGCTTCCCTAGATGTTTGAATGTAGGATCCATTTATAGTTTTGTTAGAAAGTTATTACAGTCATTTTAAACTGGAAATCAAAATATTTTATAGAATGATTTATTTTAATTACCCTTGTTCATATGATATTTTTTAATATTTAATATTTTCATAATGCTAGATTAGAGCGATCTTAGACTGCTTTGATTTGTCTAATTTAGATGTCATATTGAACATAAATTTTTTGAGAATAGAATTCAAATGATCACGAATGTTATTTTAAAAAAACTAAATTCAAATGTTTATTTTAAGATATTTTTTTAATTAAATTATTTTTTTAAATATCCATCACAATTCAAACTTACACAACCATTACACCATAAAGGTCATGTTGTGTTAAAAACTTAAAAGCACAATAACATAGTTCTAATAAAATATTTTTAAAATATTTTTTCATCTATTATTTATTATGACAGAGAAATTGATAGATAATAAAAATGTAATAGCATAGTAAATTCATTAACAACATTTCAATTCATATTTCATGGTTATATAATCAAAAGGGTTTATATCCAACAATCACTGTGCATATTTATCCGTCAAACATATAATATCAACATTTTAACAAAGAAGTATCTATAATATAAAACTTTCATTATTTATCTTTAAACGACTCAATCATTCTATTTCTCTTTCTTTCAATCAACACGTGTAGATATTACATGAGTGAGAGTGAGCCACTTAGCCCACTAGACGGAAGCATTGTCTCTAACTTCAATGTATTGAGTTCAAAGGCCAACATATATGGGTGTGTGTCCAAGTTTAAAAAATAAAATAGAATAAACAAGATATTATAGGGTGAGCTTCAATAGTAAGATATACTAGTTAAGTGCCCTAACATATCAAGTACTATACTTTATCAAGTCTAGTGTGTCCGCACAAACTTTATTATGAAAGATATACATCATAAACTACGATGCAGACAACACATTTATGAAATCTTTGCATCATTCTAATATAATAAAAATAAACAAATTTTCAAAAAATAAGATATAAACCTTCTCGTGGTCTCTTTTTCCTCTCAAGTATTTCAGATGTATATTATCAATCTTTTATGTCTCCTTATACATTTACACGTTCATTCAAGTATTCATTTACACCATTAAACATCCTTATGCGTAATATAATCTTTTTATTTAAGCCCTTATATATTATTATAATTACAACTTATACTCAGTAATTTATGCCTCCTTACCAGTATGTATATATATATATATATATATATCTATGTGTGTGTGTGCGTGTGTGTTTGCGCGTTCAATTCGTCAATTAAACTAGAATTTTCATGTATAAATATTTTATTACATATATTTACAAAATATATTGTGCATATATGACAAGTGAGCTAACATTAACAAGCTATAAGTAGGTTCCTAACTTTTATGATTTACTCAAAAGCCTCAAGACTCAACTTCTCATCTCTAGCAAATCTACTCAGCAATTTAAATTAAACCACTTGCCTGCCTTTATATGTGCATGATACATATATTAAGTAGATGCCAACCAATATAAATTAGGTTTGGCCTCATTTAAGATTCGAGTGAGCTACAAACTCAACTTTGGAATGACCAGACATTGACAACTCGAATTATGAGAGAAGATTTAGCTTGGCTCAAATGAATTTTTTGTGAGGGTTTTTGAGATAAATGATGCACCACATGCATTATATTATTTGCCTAGAGATTTAAGTTTAATAATACAAAGGATTTGCAATTAAGGCATTCACAATAGCATTTATTTCTAAGCAAACATGGATATGAAGATATAACATCGGCAAATGAAGTTTTTTTTGGTTCTATACATGCTACTAAAGATTTTGCCAAATCATATTTAGAGTTAGCTATTATGGACTTCAACTTGCTCTAAATTTTCTTTTTTGAGTGTAGAAGAATTTTGTGCACGAGTATCAGTAAGGTTGTTATGATTCCATTTTGATTTGAACTGGGGCAGGCTCAAAATGGGCTCGAAAGAAATTCGATCCAAAATTTTAACTCGTAGCTCAACTTCTTTATTTTGATCCATCTCGATCTGAGCCAAAATTCGAATATATTTCGAGAGATTAAAGATCTTTGAGCTAAATTCATTAAATTTATGGCCCTAACTTTTGGATGGTTAACTATCTAATTTCAAGCCACACTAGGGTCAGCTCAAAAAAAAAAATTCAATCTAAAATTTTGGCTTACAACACAGTTTGTTCATCTAAATCCGAGCAAAAATTTGAATCGATTTTCGAGCGATTGTCATTCTTTGAGCTAAATTCACAGCCCTAACCATACTCGAGAAAACTTTAGTTAATTTTGAAATTAATCAAAATTTAAGTAAAATTTAAATGAGTTTAAAGTTTTATGCAATACTACAACTCTTAGCTAAACCAATTAAATTTAAAAGTGGCAACATGATATATTTAAAATAAGTTTTTGTATGCATCAATTAAAAGTAATGAGCCTCAAGACGACCAAGATGACTCTTTGTGATTTGTACTTTTCATATTTAGCAATATAATCAACTATTAAGCCTACATATTAACATAAACAACACCCAAATTTTACTTTTTACATTTGTACCAGCCAAATGTTTTGCACTACATACAAAATATCATTTATTTTAATTTTTAAAAAGTGAAATACATATTTTTATGTATAAAATAATATGGAATATGTATAAAAATTGAAGTTTGGGTGTTACTTTATTAAATGCACCGAAATTACGTGTTATGTATGCAAATCTTCCTAGTTTATTTTGTGAATATAAAAAATCTAGCTCTTGTTACAAGTTATGCTGGTAGATTCAGCTGGTAAATAAGCTAAAGCTCACCAACGGTGACCGTATCTTTCGCCAGCTTTGACTTCAGCGTTGTGCCAAATGCGAACGTGTCCACGTGGCACATCGACTAGAATGGACGACCGGCGATGCCCGTTGCGTGAAGCTCCATATAGGTACGAAGAATATTGATAAATGTCCATCAAGATCGAATGGCTCCACCTATTCAACGGTTAAGATTGTGTCGGGTTTACGCGTTTACGAAATTATCAGGCTTATTATTATTTAATAAGTTCGCGTGGGCCCCGCTTAACCGCGACGACCGAAGACCGGGTCCCCCTAGCCCCTTACAAATACGAGAAATTCCAAAAGCGGCTTCAGTCATCTCCAGCAGCCCATTAATTTTATTTATATTTATTTGTATTTATTAATTTTTTTTAAAAAATTGGTCAAAGACTATTAAACAAGTCTCCCCATTAATCTCATCTGTCTATGAATTATATCCGCATAGAGGTAGAATTGAACGACCGAAAAATCTTACTAACTCTTTCAAATAAAGAGTCACGTCAACAATAATTTATATATATATATATATATATATATA